GGGACCCCCAAAACCTCAGTCACCCGTCTCGTTCCTGCCCCTTCTAAGAAACCACCTTGATGTCATGGCCCGTCTAACTCCACCTTCCTGGCTTAAAGGGAATAAGCACAGGACCACCATTTTGTGGGGAAAGCAGAACCAATAAGGATAAACAAGATAAGAGATTTCATCGATGAAGGAAGCCCAGGGAGAGCCGATCAGCCCTTCCTCCATGGGATGGTAACTGCAGCACGTTGATGGAGCTGCCTGTCTGCTGGTGTCAGCCCACCCCAGCTTGAGAGGGCAGCGCCCAGCTCTCCAGCACCCAGGGGAACCCCACCTGGAGTGGTGCTCTGGGACCTGGACTCTGCAAGTTAAGGGGAAACCAGAGCACACATCAGGATCGTCCCTGGTGGTGAGAAGAGAATACCTGCCACATGCGGAGCTGGGGATGTTTACTCTGGAAAGAGAAGATGCTGAGGTCGAAGAAAGCCATCTTCCAATACAAGAATTTCTGTGTAAGAAGGTTTTAACCTAACCTATCTGACCCCAAAAGAAAGAATAATGTCCAAGTGTGTGGAAGATTCTGGAAGCTGGCTCCTGATACGTGATGAGGAAGATCTTTCCAGCAATCGGTAATGCCTAACAGCGGAGTGGGCTCACCTGCACAGGACGTGTGTGTGAAACCATGTGGGACAGATGTTTCTGAGATACCAAAGTGTCAGTTCTGATGTCCTCTGAGGTCCCTCTCTCCAGAGGTTCTATGAGTTCATGATTCTGGGTCAAAGCAGATCTCCTGCCGCTGTGGCCAATATATGCAGTTGGGCAGCAGGGCAGTGAGGAGGACCGAGGCCAGTGCTGGATGGGGCGGGGAGAGCGAGGAGGGAGAAGGCGGAAGGGAGGGGGTAAGGAATGTCTTGTGGGTGAGGCTGGCAGCAGGGAGCCACGGCACTGGGGGTCCTGAGCGTTCCCGCTCATCAGCTCTCTGGCTCGAGTATAGTCAACAGCTTACAAGTTAGGAGCCAGCCCAGTCTCACGGATGCTCTAGGACAAGGCTGGGCGCAGTCTGGTTGTGTGGACTCTCCCTTCCTGATCTGCCCGGTCTGCTGCCATTACCCCTGTGACTTGCCTGGAGAACACACAGCCCTCACCACCTTGAGACAACCTGCTTCCAATCATCCTGGTCTCAGGTGGGCTCCAGCTTACCTGCGTACGGGGAGGCACTGACCGGAGGCCACATCGTACTTTTCCTCTATGTCATGTGTCTACTGCCTAAACGCTAGCTTGTTACTGGGTGGGACTCACAGTTCTAACCGCCCACCTGTCTTCTGGTGGGGAGAGCTCAGAAGTCAGCCTGGGCACAGCTGGCCTTCCTTGGTTCTTCCAGAACATAGCATCTGGGGACAATATTTATTTACATTACAAAAGAACCTGATAAAAGATTGAGAAATACTTCCAACACTCATTACAATGAATCATCCGATTATATGGATTAAGTGATCGTTCAGCATTGGATCAGATTAACCTCTCGCCACGCTCCTGAGTGTGTAAGCGACCCCACAAAGGAAGGGGTAGATGCACGGGAGACCAGACTCAGGTTGTAAGCCTGGAGGTACCCCACCGCTCCATTCCCTCCCTCTTGGGTTTTTCGCTCACCACCTGTGCGGCTTTGCTGTAGGGTCTGTCACCTCAGGAGGATGGGTTTTATTGTGGCCATGCTGTGGGCTTTGCTCCTGTGCTGGTATTTCAATGCAAAAGTGTCAAATGACCAGGCAACCGATTGCCGTTAAGTGATCTGAGGTCTTGCCTTCTCCTTATCTGATCATTTACTGTAAGTAATTCACAGTGAGTTTCAACATCACTTCTACCTGGCAGACGACACTCTTCTTGCCTCTAACCTGGTTCCCTCTTGCTGATGGCATTGAAGATCTGGTGTCTTGAAGTGGACCATTTCAACGAGTCAAATCCAGGGTGCAGGTGTTTATACAATTTCCTAGTAAGGGGCAGTGAGGATCACCTGGGTCCCTGGAATAGGTGCTGAGTTTTAGGACCTGGGTCACTTTTTAACTCGCCTCGTCCCACATCACTTCTGGCCAATGCCAGAAGGCAGGGGAGGTGTGGGGACACCCCTGCCTCGGGTCTGACTCATCCCCCTGCCTCGGGTCTGACTCATCCTTCACTGGCTGGCTGACACTGAGGAAGTCCCTAAACCACTCTGACCCTCAGTGTTCTCTTCTGTAAATAGGGGCACTCACACCTGCCCCACGGGGATGGTCTCTGGATTACAGGAGAGACACGGCTCCTCCAAGGCTCCTTGGAGCAGAATACACGCTCAGCAGACGTGAGTCACCTTCTTTCCTCCCTTCCTCCCTGTCACGGTCTCTGCCACCTGCCGGTCCTCCTCTGGTTCCTGCCATAGGCACCTGGGGTCAGAGAAGAGGCTGGAGGTGGAGGTCGGGGAATAAGACCGAAGCCCCAGCTGGCCATGCTGGACTCCTGGAAGGAACCATAGACTGCCCCAGTCTCCCCGCGTCAGCCACAGCAATGCACAGACCTCTACTGTGTGATGGGCTGTCACCTCGGGGAGCCAGGAGTCTTGCTCTGGTAGTTCTGGAGGCAAGAACTAAGCCATTAGGTTGAGAGCACGTGGACAGGCATATATAGAAGATGAATCTGTCCATCAACAGGGAATGTTGGGCAGTGAAGCTGGCAGTCTCCAAGGTCCAGTGGCTGTGTGTTGAGGATCCTGTCGAGGGATCCACACATTTGACAGAGGTGGGATGAGGTGATACCTGGTCCAGCCGATTATTTCCAACTGGGGAATAATGTCCAGGCTGCTCAGCACCCTTGTTCAGAGGACAAAATCACACTGCGGAATCGCAGACAGCAACTCTTAAGGCAGTGTTTCGTCTTATGGAGCTATGGGATTATTTTAAGAGACAGTGTGATTTGGGCCTAACAAGAGACTGATAAAAAAGAAAAAACCTTAAGAAAAGAGGAATGAGACATCCATTAGGGTCATTGAAAAGCTTCACCTTATTCCTGGGAATCTCGAGAGAGCAGGCTTTTGTTGGGACTTTTGATGGTATTTTGTTGGGACCACTGGTATTTCTGGCTTGCTGCCTCTCCAGCACCCAGTCTGGGTTGTGAGCAGGAAAACTGCCCACAGTGTCACTCTCTGGGCCCAGAGGTCCCTGCCCAGTCTTCCTTGTCTCCACTGTTCAGTGTGTCCTGGCAATTGTCTTATATGCGGCATGCTGGGGTTTTAGTTGTACTCAGCGGGAAGAAAAAGGAGGAGGCCATCTATTCCATTTTCCTGGAAATGGAAGTTAGATGTATGTTTTTCTTGCTTGATATCACCATATCTTTTTGCTGGTTGGCATTATTTATCTGTCCTTCATGTTATTAATGATTTTTCATCTTTATTTGAAAAATCTCTCTGCCTCTAGAGAGCTCCTGAGCAAAGAACCGGAACTCGTCTCCAGATTCAGGCAACCGGCCGCGGCCTCATCTCTCTGGAAATCCTTCCTGTTACCTGTTACCCAAGATGGCTGTGGGACGAGCCACAGCTTTCGGGGGCTGGCGTTTTTAGTCTGTGACAGTTTATTACCTCAGAAGCCGAGACCCCTGCTCACCACGGCCCACCCTTGGCCTTGGCCAGTCCGGGTACAGTCAGCAATTTAATCCAGTTCTCATTTATTTTGTTTTGTTTTAGCCCACTGAATAGTCAGCAGGTAGAATTGCATGCATGACTCTGTGCCAGAAATACTCCCCCAGCTCCTGGTTCTATAGAGTCTGAACCCATGAACTCAAACTGGGGCCGGGGGGCCGCAGGGGTCCCCGCATGCTGCTACCACCAAGCAGAGAAACTCCAGGAGGCTGACAGAGCCCAGAAGAGGTTGACAAGGTCCCCAGAGACACCCTGGTTCTTGCTTTTTTAAGAAAACAAAGTTTGCAGCTGCAATGGTGAGGAAGACTTCTGTGGGTCACTACTTTTCAACCCATGCTGTTCTACCCACAGGAAAACAGACCCCAACGGAAAAAAAGAAGAAAACAGGATTAAATTTCTGGTATTTTAATATGCAGATATATCAGCAGGCCACCTTCCTGATGTGGCAGATGCTTTCCCCACCAGGGGAAAGTGAAGATCCTTTCCCCACCAGGAAAGATGTTTGCCTGTTTCCCTTGCGTTTGGACACAGCCAATACCATCCTAAAGAGCCCTTCCACCCCTGACCACAGGCAGAAATGACTAAGACCAAAAAACAGCAGAATGAGACCACTCCTGCCTGCATTACACTTGACCTACATGTGTGGAGAACATTTTATTCTTTCCTCACAAACGGGTCAAGGGGTTCCAGGGTTCAAAGGCAAGAATGCCAAATTGTCATTCTTTAAAGAGCAGAATTATAAAATCCTGGAAAAATCAAAACAAACAGCCCCAGCATGTACCCCGAGTGCCCTGGCTATTGTTTGTAGAAAAAGCACAACGATAGAATTTGCAAACCATCCTGAATCCAGACAAGAGCTCTGACCGGGAGACCACGATTCGCACTGTGCTCAGCAAGCAAGGCCAAAATTGTGTGCGTTTCCCCGCGACACCTTAGCTAAAAGGTTGGCTGTATGATTGAGATATGAATATATTAATTTCCTGGACACTCAGTTTACTACAGAAGATCAACAGGGCTGTGATGTGTGAAAGTGCTCGGATTTCTCCCCGTGTGGTACAGAGGAAGGGTTGTTTGTGGGGCCGGCATGAGGTAGGGACCCACTCACCAGAGGGATGCTACAATAAATACAGCATCTTGCCCTGTGACTTGCTTGGGGAATTTCGGAGTGGCCGGGGAAGTGCATGGCTGGGAGTTGGTCTGACCAGTAAAGGTCTGGACCAGAGGCTGGCTGCTTTCTAAAATAAACTCACCCTTTGACTTTTGGTCGGGGTTGTGCTGAGCTGGGCCCAGCCTCGCTCACTGGCGTCTGAGCAGCGCAGGAGACAGCACTGGGACTTCTCTCCCCAGAATAATGCCGACGATGGACGACATCCTAGAACACATAGGGGAATTCAACTTTTTCCAGAAACAAACATTTCTCTTCCTCGCTCTGCTCTCTGCCGCCTTCACCCCCATCTACGTGGGCATCGTCTTCCTGGCCTTCACCCCGGACCACCGCTGCCGGAGCCCCGGGGTGCCCGAGCTGAGACGTCGATGCGGCTGGAGCCTGGCCGAGGAGCTCAACTACACGGTGCCGGGCCCCGGGCCCAAGGGCCAGGCCTTCCCCCGCCAGTGCCGCCGCTATGAGGTCGACTGGAACCAGAGCGCCCTCGGCTGCGTGGACCCGCTGGCCGGCCTGGCCGCCAACAGCAGCCTCCGTCGATGCGGCTGGAGCCTGGCCGAGGAGCTCAACTACACGGTGCCGGGCCCCGGGCCCAAGGGCCAGGCCTTCCCCCGCCAGTGCCGCCGCTATGAGGTGGACTGGAACAAGAGCGCCCTCGGCTGCGTGGACCCGCTGGCCGGCCTGGCCGCCAACAGCAGCCTCCTGCCTCTGGGCCCCTGTCGGTACGGCTGGGAGTATGACACGCCCGGCTCCTCCATCGTGACCGAGGTAGGCGATCGTGGGACTTAGAAGGGATGGAGAAAGCAGAGAGTGCAGTTTTTCTTAAGGATGAACCCAGGGAGGGCCAGATGTGCTCTTTGAACTCAAAGTGTCTTATAAAAAATAAACAAATTAATTAATTAAATAAAATAAAATCCTAGTTTTCAAGAAAGCATACAGCCTCATATTTCTGGAGTTTGAGCAGGTGAGTTTAAGCTTCAAATTCTGACAATAATGATTCTAGTGTATGCAAGTCTCAGTGGTAAGAAGCAAGCAAAAACATCAGAATTGCCAGGAAAGGGAAAATTTTCAAGACTCCTCTTTTTCTGGAAGCCCTGACTTCCCCTCCACTCTGCCATGGTACAGATGGACACCTGACACCTCATGGAACTCACCTGAACAGGTGCCTTACTGTGATACAATGTACTTTTCTCTCGATGGCTAATTTTTTTCCCTTTAATTTGCTCTAGGTATCCATATCAAACCATTTGGGGTTGGAGCTTATTCTATGGTACTATTTTATTAAAAACTACACTTGGCATTAACATTTAATCATGAGGCCTTTTTTCAATAACTAGAAAGAAAAAATGGAGACTTGCTGTTTTAAAATTTTTTATTGGAATATAGTTGATCTACAATGTTGTGTTTCAGGTGTACAGCAAAGTGAACCAGTTATACATATACCTATAGCCACTCTTTTTTACATTCTTTTCCCATATAGGCCATTATTACAGAGTATTGAGTAGCGTTCCCTGTGCTATACAGTAAGTCCTTATTAGTTGTCTATTTTATGTATAGTAGTGAGACTTGCTTTTATTGGAGACAAAGCAAAATGGGGGAATAAAATTATTCTGCAAATACAAAGAAAGCCAGGTGCCTGGCTTAACTTAAAAGGACTGCTTGGATGATGTGAAGATATTCTGTACAGGCATTAAGGTAGGAGAGAGCCATCTGAAGGATCTAAAATGGTCTGATAGTTACATGAAATGCGGAGGAGTGAAGATTTAACACCATAAAACTTTTTTTCTCTTCTGCAGTGATTCTTTATTTCCAGCCTCCATTGGCTTAACATGTCTGTGATTTTTGATTAAACAAAATCATTAAAAAGTAGAAATAATGTTTAACCAAGTATCTGGGCATCCTGTGATCCAGTCAAGTTGACACATGAAATTAACCATCACAGGAAGCTACCTGTTTCTTAAGGCCTGGACCCAGAAAATGGCAAAGTATAGCTTCCACCACATTCTGTTGGTCAAGTACCATAAAACTTTTAAGAGGCTGTTGCAGCGTGGTTCATCTCATTGTTCATACAGAGATGGGAGACTGAGGCCCAGAGCAGAGAAAAATTTTGCCCAAGGCCACAAAGTGAGAAAGTTCGTCCTTAGCCCTAGAAAGGGGTTTTCTCCCGGCCTCCAGGCCAGCACCTGTGGCTCCCCAGCACCACCTCCTGTTCCAAGTGAGGACAAAGGTAACAGCCATTAGCAAGATGTTAATTTAAAGAGACACTGAACAGCCTGGCTCCCTTAGGGCAATGCTTGTATGTGTCCACACACCTATTTAATAAAATTACAAAAAGAAATGGTTTGTGCATAAGTAATTACCCAATTTCAGCTCATTTAGCCAAAACAGAGTTCAGCCTGATGACATACTGCCAGATGGAATGCTAAACAGACTGCGGGACAAATCTTCGGGGTTGTGTAAAGAAAATTAGCACAAGCAAGAAAAGAGTTGGTTTATTGTCATCCAGTCACATCAGTGCCATGCAAGGAATACCTCCTGAGTTCCCTGGGTTGAGCTGTGTCTAACAGAATTTTGTTTTCTTTCCCTCCCAACCTGGGACACCCTGGCCCCTCGCAGTTTAACCTAGTGTGTACCAACTCCTGGATGCTGGACCTGTTTCAGTCGACTGTGAATGTAGGATTTTTTATCGGTTCTGTGGGTATCGGCTACATAGCAGACAGGTAGGTACAGTACAAAAGTCGTGGAATGTAAGCAGTCCAAGGAGAGCGCTTGGATTCACCTGCCCTTGCTTGAATACCCTCCATTCCCAGGGCACACAGACCACACTTTCCTGAATTGTCGTGACGGTCTTAGATTTTTTTTACAGCTTTGATTAGCATGACCAATGTCTTTATTTTCTAATTCTCTTGGATCATAGAGGGATGTTTCAACACTGGGCAGCAGTGTTCCCTTGTGGGCTGTCCAGAAGCTTAGAGTTAGAAGGGATAGTGGCAGAGGATTTGATCCCTGTTGTAATCCCAATTCTTTCTTGGGCCTCATGCCATCCACCTGGTCACGCGTCTTCAGGGCCTCTGACCTCTTGTCTCGTCCTCCGCTTGCCTCTCCTGTGCTGGAACCAGGTAGACTCTCCCTTTTGTTCTTACCTGAGCCTGTGGCGTTGCAGGATTCATGAACTGGGGCCCTGGGGCCAGATGTAATTATATGTATGGAACCTAAGATATAATTTGGTGAAAGGGAAACAGGGTCTCCACACTGGCAGAGGTAAATATCCACTTCCATATTGTCACGTCCCTGGAGAGAGATTAGGAGCGACCTCTCCACATGGAATGTACAGCAGGTGGTCCTCGTACATGGGGCCGTGTCTCTGGGAGCTAGTTTTCAGTGACTCATATTAATCGAGCTGTTTCTATGTCTTTTATTTATCCACTATTTTGTAATCCCAGGTTCACTGTGCTGGAAGTTCCTCATAAGGTGCATCTTTACTCTGTTGATGATCAATTAGACATTGTTAGGAGTCCCCCAAAGGGAAAGGAACAGAAAAATTGGCTTTGTACTTGATAAGCACCTTAGGTAATTTGGCTGTCAGTGCTAATTATTTAATATTCCTAATATTGACTGGTTATTGAGTATTTCCCATGTTTCAGGCACCGTGTGCAACATTTTGGACAGTATCATCCTCTTTAATCATTAGTCACCTAGTGAGATAGTGCCATATAACTATATAATAAATATACAATCTTTTATAATTTATTATAAGCTATAAGTATATGTATTTAATTCTGAAATAAGTGGTAAAGTAGATACACGTTACGCTTGTTCCTTCCCCAACTATATCTTTGATACAGATAAACCAAAAGCCGTGAGTTTAATATGAGATATAGATAGAACATTTTCTCTGATGATACTACAGTCTGGATTAAAACTTGCAAGTGTGTTAAAGATTAATAAGGATGGCTGAATCAATCACACCCTCAGGGGCGTCTGAATTGTCACAGCCGGGGCCACCTGTGGCAGCAGGAGGGAGGGAAGGTGACACTGAAGGTGCTGGGTCACGAGGCAGCCCCGTGCATCACATCACTTCTGTAACTTCTGTAAGGCTGTCTACTCAGCCTCCCTTCAAAGGCTCCTCCTGGGACGCTGTGTGGCAAAGAGGCTTGTGAGGTGCAGAGGAAGGTCGTTCGCTTTTACTTTTATTGCCACAGAACTGGCAATAAGGACGGTGGTTTGGAAATGACCCCTGAAGTCTTGAGAGGTGGCCTGACAAGGGTGGTCGGGAGTCCGCCCTGCCCCCCGCGTGTGGCGGTCTGGACCCGTGGCTCCCGGTTCCCTCTCCACTGGCTCTTCCAATGTAAGGAGCAGATTCTAATACTCAACTCGCCAGCACAGAAGTGAGCGAACAGGGGACTGAGCTTCACAGCTGGTTAAATGAATGAGTTGGTTATTCCCATCCCGCTCAGAGTAGGAGACCGGTTATCATTCTCTTCCTGACTTAAAATCCCCGGTCAATTATCCACCTTCTTAGATGACCTCATTATTTTGTTCCTATTGTTGAAATCTCCCATGTAAAGTTGACTACTCATTATTCTTCCCCCCAAAGCTGTGTACATCCCTCTATTTCTTTTTCTTAAACTGTCTGAAGTCTGGTTGGTTGTGCCCCCTTCCCTTCTGTTTGTGTTTGCAGGTAAGGTGCGTAATAAGACAACCACCCTACGGGTCCAAAAAGGACACTATCTATTGCACATTTAATGCCTATTACTGAATAATTGTCAGGTTTTATAGAATGGAACAAGAATCTCATGGAAACCCATCTGATGCTACAGATTAAACCAACACTAAATAAAATAGATTGTCAGCTATGAGGAATTTAAAAAATATTGTTACTGAGCCCAAGCTCACTCTGCTTGCCACTTGACAGACCAATAAATCGGAGACGAAGTGTTGAGACAAGGAACACGACTTTATTCGGAAAGCCAGCAGACCGAGAAGATGGCGGGCTAGGGTCCCCAAAATAACCATCTTATCAGGGTTTGGATGCCAGTTTCTTTTATAGAACAGAGAGGGGGAGGAGATGGGGAAGTAAGGTAAAGACACCATAAGTTTTGCAAATATCCCCTGGAATGGCCAGCCTCAGGGAGGACATGTGTTAATTTCTTCTTCCTTGCAGCCATCAGCAGGTGGGCAGGGTCCGGATGTTTCCCTGAACAAAGGCACTTTGGTTTAACATTCAGGCAGAGGGGCAGGGTTCCCTGAGGCAGGCCATTATGTATAGACCCTATCCTTTTAGTGAACAAAAACAGCAGAAAGCAAAGGTTAAAGTAAAAGAAACAGATCCAACATGTAATCAGACTTGGTTCTCTCCTGTAACAATATGACCTAACAGCTGATGAAGGTGTCTTTTAGAAGCCAGGAGCACATTATGAACAGGTTATAATAAGAACACTGAACCTTACACCAAGTCAACTTTCTGAAGGTCACCTTTGCAAGTAGAAGGAGGGAGGGGCGGGGGACATATGCTAGAGAGTTTGAAAATAAACCTTTTGTAAGATGTCTAATTTGTTTCATCATTCAAACCTCCTCAAGAATGATTTTCAGAATCACCTGACACCAAAAAAGTAATCTGTCACCAATTCAAGGTTTTTTTACTCTAATGGTCAGTAATTTAGTGTCAGGCTTGTAAATGTTTAACAACTGACTCTCTGAAGGAAAAAGTCTCAATTTGTAGGGTTTGTTGATCTCCATGTTGTCAAGGCTCCCACGGTGGTCCATTTCAAGCTACCAAAGTGAGGTCACTGAACACAGAGTTGGCTAGAAATATGCACCATTCTATGGTATTTCCACCATACAACTACAACAGATAGACATAAAACACTTCCTGAGCATAGATAATGGTCAAACACAGTAAAATAATTAGGAAGAGATAAGTTTTGCATATTTATTGCACGTGTTTTTAACATAATTTACTTTATTGTAGGTGTGTACTTTCATTTTGAATAATGGCTGTGTTTAACAATCAGCTCACAAATTTTCTGAAAGTCTATCAGTCAGCTCTCAAGAGCCAGCACTGCACTGTCTAGATTTCACAGCAGAACGAGATCAAGGCAGAATCAAAGTCCCAGTGGGTCACAGTCAAACTTACTCAACTCTGTGGAATCTTTCAAAACTAGCTCTCCCCTACCTACTATGTGCCAGTCATTTTACTGGGCATCCCTGTGTGTTACATTTCACTTAGGATCGTAACAGCCTTTGAAAGGAGAGTTTATTATCCCGTTTGCAGATGAGGAAACTGAGGCTCAGTGAAATGAAAGCAGTGCTTCCCAAATGGTAACGTCCATAGTAACCACCTGGGGGGTTTGTTAGAATTATGATTCTGATCCAGTGGGTCTGGAGTGGGCCTGAGAATCTGCATTTCTAACCACTGGCCGGTGATGCTGATAGCCCCAGACTACAGTCTGAGTAGCAAGTAGCTAAAGGACTTTTGAAGCCAGCAGTCCTGGAGTTCACCCCATTCTCTTTTATTTGCTCTTCGTTTTTCATTTAACCACTTAAGTGGTTCTGTTGTGGGAGGGTGGGAATGGGGGGAAGGTTCTCGAACCACTCTCCCAAATCTCCAAAATTTCTTCCAGCCCTGCCTCAGTGTGTTTTTTATTTAATTTAATTTAATTTATTTATTTATTTATTTTTGGCTGCATTGGGTCTTTGTTGCTGCACACGGGCTTTCTCTAGTTGCGGCGAGCAGGGGCTCCTCTTCGTTGTGGTGCGCGGGCTTCTCACTGCGGTGGCTTCTCTCGTTGCGGAGCACGGGCTCTAGGTGTGTGGGCTTCAGTAGTTGTGGCACACGGGCTCAGTAGTGTGGCTTGCGGGCTCTAGAGCCCAGGCTCAGTAGTTGTGGTGCACGGGCTTAGTTGCTCCGCACATGCGGGATCTTCCCGGACCAGGGTTCGAACCCGTGTCCCCTGCATTGGCAAGAGAATTCTTAACCACTGCGCCACCAGGGAGGCCCCCGCCTTATTGTTTTAACAGCACTGTGTCTTTATGTGAACATGTCCCCTAGTGAAGCTGCTCTGCATTGGTAGATTTGATTCTCTGAAGGCTTCCACGCACTGAGTTTCAGATGGTGAATGTTCCCTCTCATCCACCATGGGATTTTGTCCATATACTGGAGCATGATTATGGTGCTTTGGGATTTGGCTGAGTCAACTTTGGAAGTTGAAGAATTATCACTTCAGCACATACTTATAAATTCTTTGAGGGTAAAGGGAGAGGTTCAGGAAGAAAGGCTAAAACATTGTGCTGATATGACTTTGGAAGGCTGTGGATAAAAGTCCAGGGGGTACATGTTTACAGTGGGGAACCACTGACTGAGAATTTTTAAATGATGTGGTCAAAACAGGGTTTTAAGAAGTTTAGCAGTTTACATTAATTACTAATGAGACTGCTTGATCTTTAAATTTCAGATTTAAAGCATTAATAATCCCAAGTAATTGTTAACAATGTTGTGGATTCTTTTCAAATGGTCAGTTAGTGTTGAAATGGTCACTAGAGCACAAATTGCCTAAAGGGAGAGCAGCAATTAGAAAATGTCCAGCCGCACCAAATGTGCACTGCTAATGACGTGGCAGCACTAACTGACATTCAGTTTGAGGTGGATAAATAAACAAAAATTAAAGAAAACATCGCTTTGCATGAAGAATTTTTAAAATATCCACTAACAGCTAGTTAGGGCGTCTTTTAGAACAAAACCAAGAGGACATGATGAAATGTGGAAAAAAGAGACTGAACCTCAAGTCAGCTTTCTGAGAGGCAGCTTCGCAAAGGGAGGGAGGGAGGGAGGGGGGCTGGGTGCGAAGCTCTTTAGGTGTAATAGCACACTTAATCCCCGGTCAGGCTGGGTCAGATAGCTCTTCTCCAGATGAAGAAACAGAAAAGCCACATCACTCGCCCGACATCCCAGTCAGCGGTAAGGCCGAGGTTAAACCCAGGTTCCCACGTTTCCGTCTACTCTGTGCACTGAGACACTCTCCAGGTCCCTAAACCGATGGGACCCAAGTCTCAAATAAAATGTGCGGGAGCAATCCTGCTAAGGTACTCCATGGCAAAGGCCTATGGGCTGGCAACAGGTGAGATGATGACAGCGCCACACAAAAGACCGTTTCCATGGAGACACACAAATACCATGAAGTCCAAAGGCAGTGTTGAAAATGGATGGGGAAATACATTGAACACAGAATTCTGTTTTTTCTAAAGCAAAAGCTCCTCAGTGGGCAGCTAGTTGAGACTGTTGGTGCAAAGGCCCAGCTCATGTGATGACAGAAGACCTAGACGGGCCCTTGGGGCATTCAGCGCTAGGTGGCCTGAAGAATCACCTCCTCCCCACGTACCCTCCACAGTGGGGGGCTGAGAGGTGCTCCAGCCCAGGGTGAATGGGCCTCACTGGGCTTCAAGTTTATACATAGTGCCCTGGTGAAAAGTCCTGATGGAACTGACCTGAAGCCAGGGATTCTCTTGGTGGGTATCAGTCTGTACCTCCTGAATTTCCATCATTCAGAGATAACCTCCACTTTAGTTTAGAGCTCCATAACTTCTGTGAATTTTCTACAACCCTCATGAATCTAATCTAATTCCATTCCCTCTCTTTGTTTTCTCCTTGCAGGTTTGGCCGTAAGCTCTGCCTCTTGATTACAATCCTCATAAATGCTTCATCTGGAGTTCTCATGGCTATTTCCCCAAACTATACATGGATGCTAATTTTTCGCTTGATCCAAGGACTGGTCAGCAAGGCAGGCTGGTTAATAGGCTACATCCTGAGTAAGAATGCTTGTGACTGTAGCTGTGGGGGACATTGCTGGCAAAATATAGTCAGTCACGTGAGGCTAGCTGCACAGGAAAATGGACTCAGCTTCAAGACAATGTTGAAAGATTTTTTTTCTGTATCAAAAGAATTTCTGAAATCTTTTCAGTAAACTCATTCTGCATTCCTCCTAGAAAGAAAACAATGAAGCAGGAA